TAATAATAATAATAATAATAATAATAATAATAATAATAATAATAATAATAATAATAATAATAATAATAATAATAGCAGTAGCAGTAGTAATAATAATTATGCTTCACCATCTGGTTCACAAGTAAGACAATCAAGAGTGATGGAAGTGACTGCGATGATGCAAGGTGAGGATGGTCCAGCAGATGGTGGAAACGCAACAGAACATCCGTCTCGAAATCCCTTCAATTAATAAATGTTTGTTATTTATTTTTGCTTTTCGTGGCATCCATGTTATACATTGTATGAGTTCGAAGCCATAGACTATTGGAATAATTAATAAATTAAGAGAAGATTGTTGCTTTTTAGCATTATTAAGAGTTTGATAATTGTGAATTAAAATATTTTTTTAAAAGTCACATAATAATAATTTTATGGAATAAATGATATTTATAGAAACGAAAGTGATTAATGTTAAATCAAATATCAAACTATACTAAAAATTGATTATTTTCTAGTGTCTTGTATGTGAAGATGGATATTTTAATTGTGTCATAAAATCCACATATATATATATATATTACAGTCATAACGAAGCATTAAACTGAAGTTGGTTCCAGAAGCGGTTATAGTAATAAACCGAATTTACTAAATAACCGAATTTTTTACTAATAACCCGACCAGGTTTGACTGTATATGCTCTATCATTCAGCTTCTTCATGGATATTATACTACTGATATACTGAATATAATAAACGTAAATCAAATTTTTAACAAATACATCAAAATATCCGATTTTTCTATGAAAAAATTAACTATATACATATAAAATTTAACAATTTCAGAATATTATTACTATTGATAATTATTTTCCATGGAATTTGAACATATCCAGCTGTGATGATTTCATATTATTGGGGTCAATTGAAGATGACCCAGAGCCGGAATTTGTTGTTGTGTCTTTGTCCGTATTATTATTTGGATTCACGCAAACCATTAAAGCTTTATCATCATCATGATTATTAGTATCTTCCGGAGATTTAGATTTTTCCTCTGAATTCTGATGGTCGATATCCATTTGAGTGTCATCGTAAACATCACTGTTGTCATTATCTTTCTCATTATCGTGTTGATTTGTAATTTTTGACTGGTTGTTATTGTCAGCGTCTTTTGCGTCCTTATCCTGGTTATTACCAAAGATGAGTGATTAATTAATTAATTAATCAACATATGTTTTACATTCTATTGATTTTAAGAAAGATTTCTTACTTCTTTTTTTCCATTGTACCCGAAAAGTGTCGATTGTTTTTTATTTTTGGGTATTTTATCATCCTCAGCTGCATATATTAATATATTAAATTCACGTATGTAAATCAAAAATATACAAGAGGAAACTTAATAATTACCGATAGAAGTAAGTGATGATTTCTGAGGATTCTCTTTAGATTTAGATGGCGGAAATAGATTTTTCATCTTCTCGGGATCCATGTGTGCCATTTTTGCAATGGGATTCTCTTCTGTAACAATAAAGATAATGAATCAAACTAAATTTAGTCACCACAATAAAAATCTTAAAACTCACTTGCAATTTTTGCTTTCTTTTCTGAAAATTTCTTTTTAAAAATCGATGGTGATGACGATGATGTTTCATGTTTAGGAGGGATTTTTGGTGCTTCTTCAGGTTCGGATGAATCGTGGTGAGTTCTCTTTAGGCTGGACTTGTACGTACTGCTACCATTACTACTAATAATAACCATTAAATCATTATTATTTTCAATTATTCTAATACCACACTAACAAATATCCACCCGATTGAAAACCTGTATACTATTGACATACATTGAATTATGATTGAGATTACAAGGCTTGGTGGTCTCTTGAAAATTTTCTCGAATCGTGGTAGAAATAGCACTGTATACTTGCTGCGGAACATTATTAGCTTGATTCTGTTCTTGTTGCTTCTTCGTCTATTCCGAAATACGTCAACAAGCAAAAAAAAATCGAGTCTTTAAATATCTAATGACAAAGTTATATTTTCTTCAATCAATCAAAAAGAAAAGAACACCTACATCCTTGAACAACCTAATTCGATCTGCCAGTGCTAAGAGATTACGTTGTTCGGCAATCATAATAGCCCCATCAATACCTTTATCGGAACCAAGCATTGTAGTTAAACTAAATGCTCGCTCTAGTTTATTTTCTTTAAGTGCAGTCTGTTTCAAACGAATTAAAAAATTAATAAGCTGAATAAGCACGGAAAATGTATGTCTGTTTAGATAAGCATACCAGTACTAATTGAAGTACTTGTTTATCATTTTCGAGAGTTTTCTTACGGAATTCTTCTTTTCTCGAGTCAAGTTCACCATTTGCTTCAGCTTCTTGGTATTCAAAGTCGGTCCGTATTCTTGTTCTCATAATTCTAAGAAGAATCAATTTAAATTAAATTGAATTAAATTAACTATTTAATAGAAGTAAAAGTAGACTTGGTAATAATAATCCAGGAAACACACTTTTCCTCTAACTGGCAATTTGTCTTTTCAAGGTGCAAAATCGGAATCTGAAGAATTACTTCATCCACAGACGGTAGCGGATACGGGGGGTACTTTTCTCCTTTCTTTTGACATTGTTCAAAAAACATCAATTACAAACAAGTAAACCACAAACCTAATAAAAATGTGAATCACAATTTTTTTAAGAAAAACATACCTTACAAATGACACATCGAAAACTGTTTCCACTAAGACCAACAGGCCAATATGTAATAAGGTTAGCTCGGGATTGCGGCAGCTGTTTAGTATTTAGGACTGGCACCCATCGACATTGGTTCGGAGTGCGAACCATGTAAAGTATACTGAGCAATCCTTCAGAATTGTATATCACCGGGTACTTTTTCAGATATCGAAAAACAAGATGTCAATCTATGAAATCCTTAAAAAAAAATTGAAATCGCTAATTTCATTTGCTTACCCCCTCTTGCGCGAATCCTACCCATGTGAGCCGAGATTTTGAGTCAATAGGTAATCGCCCTGTCTGAATGATGAAACTTCGCGTTGTAACGTTGTACAAGCTAAATTCGAGGTTCTTTGTTCCTTTTACCATCACAAAACCAAAATCAAGTCAATAACAAAAAGATACTAGTACTAAAATGAAAAAAAAGTGCAAATGATCTATTCAATCAATGCTTACTTGCCTTCGACACCATTAACAAAAATGGCAAAGTCCCCTTGTGCAGCCATGCAAACGATAGACTTTAGATGAAATATTTCAGTTTGAATACCGGTATTGTCAAAAAATCGTACGAATCCCGCTTCAGTGGCGACAATCGGTCCCTTCGCACTAAGAGCAATGCCTGTTATAAAAAAAAATAGATATTAAGTGTTAAATCATTCATTAGAAAATTTCATAATTTTTTGTATACCTATGATATCCTCGTCCAACGGCAAGTCCATGTGCCATTCACATTTATCCGCGACACTGCCTATATACTTGTAAGAAATCACTGGGTTGTTCCCTTCACTGGATTTCGCTGCGTGTAGTACTCCATGTAGACCTAAAAAAAAATTAAGATTTGACTGGTTAGAAGAATTCATTACATACTTAGCTTATCAATTCAATACCAATAATAATAATTATTATTACCAATACAAGACATGGAAAAGCTGTAAATATCTTGGAAATGATATGTTCGGTTGACTGTCTGGTCAACAAAGGAAACTAACACGGTAGAATGAGTGTCACTATCCAAGGATGATACGAATCCGTAGAGATTACATCCTATAAATTTAAAAAATAAACATTCTACCTTAGCAAAAAGCCGTATAGTTTGATAATCATGACTTCAACTGCCTTACCCAAGTAACGTTGCTTGTTTCTGAATGGTGTAGCGCCTGGATGAAATGGCTTAGGCATATCAAAACTGATTACATTGACTAGAAGATACAATAATATACAATAAATTTATATGTATATAGTTATTCGAAACCAAGCAATCGCTCGTCATTATTTTTACCTTGTGGTTTCTCATTTAATGACTTATCAAGCTTAGTAGAAGTGCCCTCTTCATCATCACCAACTACAAAGTCATCAAGAAAATATTCGTCTTCAATCATTTTGTTATCCTCATCATCTACAAATAGTAACAGATTAAAATTTCCAGAATTCAATAAAGAATATACGAATAATCAAAAGAATATAAAAACTCACAGTCAATTTTTGTCTTTTTAAACTTCTTTTTTATTTCCTCTTCATCAGAAGCATCATCATCAGACACTTCTTTTGATTCATCCTCTATCAGAGTTGTTTCTTCTTGTTCGCTTTCATGCTCAGATAATTCATCTCCAAAAGGATTCCAAACTCGAAGAACGCCCATTCCATCGGCCTAGAGTCAAAATAATATATAAATTTAAAGACATCTGTCGATTTACACCAAATCGATCTTTAAAAAAACTCACGTATGCTATAGTTTTGTTGGAAATCCAGACTAAGCTAGTAACAGGAGTTTCAGTCCGATATCTATATATAGCATTTTAATTTAAAAATAACAAGGAATCTGAAGTGAGATAAACAATAAAGGTGAAAAAAGCAAACAAATACCTCCATGAAGGTTGTTGAGATTTAACTTCCCAAACATTTAATTGCGAGTCCAAGCCCGCCGTTGCAAGATATTTGCCATTATGTGACCACTGCAGTACACATATAGCCTATATATAAATAAAATTATTTAAATGATATTATATTTAAATTTGCAAATTTGTCGATATAACAATGTACCTTTGTATGGGCATCTTTAAATATGGTCTCATACTTCCATTTTCCGTCGGCTTTAGTCACTTTAACGATTTCTTTAAATAAAAAATATATGTAAATGCCAAATGAAATCCTTATAAAACATTGATCACATGGTTTTTTTAAAAACCAAACCGTTTAGCCATCCCGGCAATACAAAAAATTTTGACGAAGGATGCCAGGCAATAGGAAATTGTCTTTCACTTTATGGGAAAATAAATGATTTTAGAAATGCTAATAATACTTTACGAAAATTGATTTGGATAATATCTGAAAAAAGATCTACTCTGGTTCTGCAATTGGAATTTGCCCAAATATATTTTGAAAATGACGTGCTTCGCCATGTCGCAGGTCCCAAATTCTTATAGAGCCGTCACAGCCAGTAGAAGCCTTGTTGATTTGATAAAATAATATAAGACGATTGCTTTCAAGAAAGAGACACTATGTAAAATTAATTATATAGCCTTGCCAAATATCCGCCCGTAGAATCAAACGCGACCGCCTTTACACTATCCGTATTTTCCTTTAGATGGTAGACTTCTTTTGGATTAAGCATATTAACAATGTGAATTGGCATCTCACTTGAATAACGAATTTTGTAATAAATAATAAAACAAATTTTATTGATAATTATTTTATTTTTGAATACTGGAAACACTTTTATAATTCCGAATTCTTCATACTCTGACGCTATCGCTATTTTCGATCCATCCGCGGTGAAATCGACACATCGTGCCGGCAACGTACATCGATACAAAATATTTTCAAATTTTTTCTCCTTGATATTGTAGAGACAGACGCTATTGTCTTCGGACGCAACGGCAAATTTTCCTTTCTATATTTTCAAATATTCGTATTTCACGAATGTAATTTCTGTGTATAATGTTGATACATAAAAAAAGTACTTTTCTTACATTGACTGCAATCCAGCGTGTTCCAGTTTGATATGATTCTATGCTTTTTGGAGTTAATATGAGTCCTTTTTCACAGGGAGGAAAAACACGAATGACACCGTCATTGCCGCCAGTTATTATATTTCTATTTCAATATTTATTATAATTAGTCGAGGATTAAAAACCTCAAGCTTGACGCGTCCATTCACACGCACTTTGTACTTTCCGCGTAAGCTATTACAGTGTGCCCCGCGTTGTGTGCTTGATACTTTTCTTTAGCAATGCTCATTTTTCTTTTGACCTTTTTTTCGAAACGCCTCAATAGAGAATTATCCAATTATCTAAAAATTGAAAAAACGCGTAACATTTTAACTTACTTATATACTACGCGATGTTCAAATAACAACTAACAGATCGTTATTTTAGAAACACGTGACCACACAACATATTTGCTTATCCAAGAAATGAATTTTATATTTCCAATTTATTTTAATGTTCGCCAAACTATGGAGATTCTTGAAATTTGAATAAATATTTTTTTCTCATGTTACTCTGATGTCTTGATCCTTCGTTTCCTTATACTCATCAAGAAGGATGGCATCATATTGGTTTGTTTTCTCCAAATTGTTTGAGGTGAGCATACGAATCAGATGCCCTCACATCAATCAAATTACTTGAATGTATTGTATACAAAGTACCTCTCGGGTATACCCTTGCCGGGATTGATTTAGAATCGGAGGTATTCTATACAATGATTGATTATTTTGCCTGGGCAATTAATTCATTTATTAGTTCCCGCGTAACTAGTCAAATTCTCTGCAAACTAAAAATTTTCGGGGAATCGTAATCTCTTATGTTTAGTTAGAAAAAGACAATAAGTGCGAGACTATTTACTCACAATATCATTTTAAAATACCCTAATAAATAAGACAACTTTACTAAGTACCGCCATCTATAAATATTTTATCAACAGCAATGAAGTTTTATCTTCCAACATTTGATTAATGTTTGATATAATGATAATAAATATGAAGTAGAGACAAATCATATCTATGATTCAGATTCTTCCCATCCATTGGACTCGGTTCGATTGTATTTTAGAATCCATGGATGGTTAACCACTTGATCAAGAGGAAGTCGTTTGTTTGGATCATATTGTAATAGCTATGTCCGAATTGTAAGCATATTAATACGAAATCAGTAATTTGAATTTAATTTTACAACATATGGAAAAATGAATCAAAGAAAAACTCACTGAAACTATCAGATCCTGCGCTTCCGGGGAAATATGATCTGGTATTTTCAAGTCTACCAAGGCAATTCGTTTGTAAGTGGCCGAATAGCCAGTCAAATCCTCGAAAGGGGGTATGCCAACTAGAAATTCGTAGCACAAAACTCCGAGTGACCACAAATCAACTCTGGTATCGTGTTCACGTCCCTCGACCATTTCTGGGGGTAAATAATCCAATGTGCCACATAGAGTTTTGCGTCTAATAACAATAACCAAATTTTTTTTGGGTCACGGACAAAAAGATTGAAAAATCAATGATTTCACAAGCGATATTTTTACCTTACCTCGCGTTAGGTGCGTGAACTGACCAACCAAAATCAGCAATTTTAAGTTCACCGTTCATTCCTAACAACAAATTCTCGGGTTTGATGTCACGATGAATCACGTGTTTTTTATGCAGATAAGCTAGTGCGTTGGCCATTTGATTGACATACTACGTAATATTATTTTCCGTAAATAATTAACATATTAATACATACATTTTATTCTCGATAACTTACTCTGGATGCACGCTTTTCAGTAAACCTGTTACAACTTCGAAGCTTTTTATAGAGTTCCCCTTTAGCAGCATATTCCAATATCAAATATACGCGCTTGTCATCATAAAAATAGCCAAAGAGACGGAGAATATTCGGATGGCTATGATTTATGATAAATCATGAAATATCAATGTGAGCAATTATTGATTTGCAAATCGTGTATTTTCTTGACAACAAACCGTAGATGTGACTGAATCTCCACTTCACGACGCAACTGTTTTTCAACATTGGCAGCATGTAATTCCCGTTTGAACAATATTTTCAATGCAATAATATAACCGCTACTTTTTTCTCTGGCAAGATAAACTCGACCGAATTTTCCTTCACCGAGAGGACTTCCGATTTCAAAGTTATCTAATGACCACATCCGCGGCTGGATTGACCTGTTTATATTTAATTCTGGTGAATGTGTGAAAAAAACATTATACACTGTAAAGAACTAAAAACGACGCCTTACTTGGGAACGTTCGCTGTTTCTATTTGGTTAGTCACATGTTTGTCAGGTTTATGTGCAACGAGTGTCATGGAATTTCTTCCAATTGACGTTTTGATCGTTGTTGAAACTTCGACTTTTTTTTCACATTTTTCAGAGTTTTCACCCAAACTGAGATTATTTATCGAGTTTGATAGTTCGATAATCTCATTGTTTTGCTGTTTGAAATTGTTGTTAAATGATGTTGAAGATGTTGTTAGCTGTCGTTTACTATTACTACTACTATTACTACTAGATATTCCCAATTTTTTCAATGGCAACCTGTCCGATTTGTTTGACAACTTTGCTGTTGACTGTTAATTCACATGGTTAGAGAGGAAGCACAAGGTAAATGCCAAAATTTAAATTAAAGCTTGGTCAGTAAAATTGTTTCGAAACATTAAAGAAGAAAAGCTTTTTGAGATTACCATTGGTATGTGTTGTTTTATGTGTATGTAAATTAAAGAAACAAAAAAACTATTGTATATATCAGATAAACATTGGCGATCTAATAATTTTACAACGCGTTCGCGTCACGACCAATGATAGTTCGGAAAATTTTGAGGTTAATTTTTTCTCGGTTTATGACTAACCTTTTCATGGCTATATATTATGAAGGGTCTTTTCACAACGATTTCTGTTATATTTTCTGAGGCACGAATTCTGTTTGATAATGCACGAACGGAGTATAATATTCAAAAATAAGTTCTTCTATTATCTATCCATACGAACACAGAATCTTGGGAAAAAGAACCAGCAGATTGAGAAATTGGCAAAGATAACTGCAAATGATGTTGATCTTTCTTTGGCATGTTACGGGAAAACCACATCGATATGTCGTTATTGTATTTTTATTGGCTGTAGATCCTAAATTTGTCTTATATATCGCTTATTGTTATTTTTTTCCCACCAACCTTGTCATTTTGTGTTCTTTTGGAGTTATTTACTATGGTAGCTTAGTAGCGGAAGTCGTGAGCGATGGTCTCGCTACTGTTGTGGCCTCGCTATTATGTTGCTTTAGTGGATGACACATAGAACCTCTTCTGTAGAATGCGGTCAGAAGTAAATTTAAAACCGTTATAATTGTGGTATGTTTGGTAGGTGACGCCCAGTAACAAAGTCATTTATCCTCTGTTGACGTGGCCAGAGTATCAAAACCGCTGTGATTGTGGTATGTTTGTTAGGTGACGCCCAGTAACAAAGTCATTTATCCTCTGTTGACGTGGTCAGAGTATCAAAACCATTGTGATTGTGGTATGTTTGGTAGATGATGCCCAGCAACAAAGTCATCTCCCTTCTGTTCGGCAGAGTCAGAAGTAAATCAAAACGTATGATATAAAGGCATATTAGTAGGTGATGCCAACGCAAACTCATCCTCTCTTCTGTTTACATGGTCAGAAGTAATCAAAACCGTGCCCGCAGTTATAGTATTTTATCATTATTAAGACCAGTACTCTAACCGCGGCAGAAAAAAAAGGGTGTGCTCACATATCCAAAGTGTCGGGTCATGTAACTTCCGAAGTGATCATCTGACTCCGGAAAATCTGGCCTGCCAAACATCTCTTTATTGTGTCCACGCAATTATCTTTCACGCTAAGCATTTCAAAATTTGTTTTTAACCTTTTATTAAGATCGTGTTTTTTACAATGTAATTTTTACAATGAAAATTTGTTTTGTTTCGAACCAAAATTGGTAGTTAACGTTAACACATGATACATGGAATAAAGTTTTGGCTTTGTCACTCCCTTAATTTTAAGATGCAGCGCAGTATAACGAAATCGTGTGCATTGATTGATTTTTTCTGCGTTTTACTTCGACACAATTCGAGACTTGAATACAAAATGTACACTTATGAAGGACAGCGTAAATTGAATCAAGTGAGAAGCGAATAAACTTGATCGAAAATGGTTTTCATCAACTAGTTTAAGAATTTACTATCATTGGAATTTTTATAATAATTTGTCTAGTAAAATGTATATTAACGTGAACAGTAGTAAGATTATTCATTAATTCTCACATTACTGCATAAAATTAAAATACATATGAATCGAAATGACAACCCTAATTATTTTTCTCTAGGAAATAAATATCATCATTACCAACAACATGTATATAAGCAAAAAAAAAGAATGCATTATATATTGATTCACACTGAATATCACATTGCTGGTTGTGGATTCTTATAAAATTTATATAATGTGCACAAATATGATGATCAAAAGTTAATTTAGAATTTTTGTAATGTGCACAAATGTAATAATTGAAATGTAATTTATTATGCCATTTTAACGTCATAAACAGGAAACTTCGAATCCGTATTGATAGCATTCAGCCAATCTGAATTGAGCGAACTTAATCCAAGATTCAGAATTCATATACAGAGGCCTCCCAGAATATTGTGGACATTTTTTAAAATACAATAATGCAAAAACTAATAAAAAAGCAAGATTTATGATTCTAAGCTAATAGAATCATTAAAACTT